TCCCCCTCTCCCCCTCTCCCCTCTCCCCCTTTCCCCTTCTTATTCATCCCCATTCCCCCCATTCCCCCCCACTCGCCCTCACATTCATCCTCCTGTAAGGGAACTCATAATCCCGGTGCTGACATCAGCAAGCTCCAGCGCTCACGCCCCCGATGATCTTATTTGCACTACCCTCCCCTCCCCCTACCTCCCCTCAACTCACAATCTCGGTGCTGACATCAGCAAGTTCCAGCGCCTGGGTCATTTCCACGAAGCCCAGGTCGCCCACAGGGGGGGGGGGGCGCGGGGTGACGCCCCCGATGATCCCACGTCTTCCAGTGGTGCTTTCACTGCGGCTCATTCTCCCCCATGTCCAACCCCCTGTGACTCACAATCTCGGTGCTGACGTCTGCCAGCTCGAGCGCCTGCGTCATCTCAACGAAGCCCAGGTCGCCCACGGGGGAGGGCGCGGTGACGCCCCCGATGATCTTGGGCGCCACGAACGCCATCACCTTGTGTATGGCCCTGCCGGCTATGCACGGCGCTGAGAGGGTTCCGCCGCACTCCCATAGGACCTGAGAAGGGGGAACAGTGGGAGGGGGGTAAAGGTGGGAAGAGAGAGGAGAGGAGGAAGTGAAGGAGAGCTGATGCATGCTCGATGCTGAGAGCGTTCCCCCCCGTACTTCCACCGGTGGGGGGGATATGAGCAAGGGGAAGTGTGGGGCGGAGGTGGGGAGGGAGGGGAAGTGGGGTGGAGAGAGGAGAAGAGGAAGAGTAAGGCCGTCTGCTGCGCACAGCACTTCAGGCAAAGTCAAACTCCTGCATGTTGGTCAATTGGTGCACAAACCACATGTGCCTCGCAACAATTGACCCGCCTGCACGTGTAACGCCCACCCAACACTCCCGACAACCCATCCACCCACCTGCATGAAGCCGCGCTGGTGGCAGTACTCCATGACAGCGCGCGGCGAGAGGAAGTCAAACTCCACCACCTCGCAGCCATCTGGTCTCACAGCTACCTCCAGATTAAGCAACCCTCTAGCAGCCTGCACCCTTCCTTCCCAAGACGCACCCACCTGCTCCTCCCACCCACCCATGCCACCCACCCACCCACCTGCATGAAGCCGCGCTGGTGGCAGTACTCCATGACAGCGCGCGGCGAGAGGAAGTCAAACTCCACCACCTCGCAGCCGCGGGCGCGCAGGCGCGCGCAGAAGTCGCCCTTGGCGCCGCGCTGCGTCATGACGACGGTGGGCGCGATGGCCACGTCCCACAGGTTGGCGTCCTCGGGGAGACGCAGCGAGCGCGACATGACTATGCGGACTGGCACGTGCCCGCCCTCCCTGCGCGTTGTCAGCCGGGGATCTGTGGAGGGGAAGAGGGGGGTGGGAGAAGAGTGGGAGTACGGGAGGTGAAGTGGGAAGGGAGGCAGAAAATGAGGAGGGTGGGAGTGGGTGGGAGTGGGTGGGAGTGGGTGGGTGGAGTTCTCAAAAGTGGAGGGAGACGCCTGAAAAATAGGCGCCAAAAAGATGCACACAGGTGCGCGCTTCAGAAACACTGTCTTGTCACTGTGTTGCCCCCAACAATGATGGCATCAGGGAGGCTGCGCAGCTCAAACTCACATGCACACTGTTGTTGAAGCGCCTCAACCAGGCACACACACACACGCAAACATGAACAATACACACACATCCCGCTTTGCACTCACTGTCACGGCGCATGGTGTTGCCGCCCACGATAACGACGTCTGACAGGCTGTGCACGTGAAAGACACATGCCCACTGTTGCCGATGTGCTGTGCCTCAATAGTTACACACACATGGGGCACTCCTCATCCGCCTCCTTAGCAAGTCTGCACTCACTGTCACGGCGCACGGTGTTGCCCCCAACGATAATGGCGTCTGACAGGCTGCGCACGTCAAACACTCGCTGCCGCGCCTCCCGGCTCGTCACCCACGCCGCGTGCCCCGTGGACGCTGCTATCTTGCCTGCCCAGGCGAATGGGGGAGGGAGAAGATCGGGGAAGGATATGAAATGACGGAAAAGGAAGGATGGGTAAACGCTGCGCCACATGCCCCGTGGACACTGCTACCTTGCCCGCCCAGGGGCATGGGGGAGAGCAAGGGAGAAATGATGAGCGAATGATGGGGGAAAGATGGGAGAGGATGTGAAAAGCATGTGAGAAGAATTGGGGATAGGATGAAAGAGGGATGGGAGAAGGATGGGCGAAAGATGGAAAAGGGTGGGGACAGTTTGACATGCAGCAAAAGCCATGTAGCGTACACTGCTATCTTGCCTGCTGGGGGGCATAGGGAGAGGATGCGAGATAGGAGAAAAGATGGGAATGGGTGGGCCAAGGATGGGAATGGGTGGGGAAAGGATGGAAGGGTGGGAAGGTTTGGGACGAGTGGGAAGGATGAGAGGGTGGGTTGATCCTCAAATTTAGCCCCACCCACACTCGCCCACCCACCCCTTCGCACTTCCTCTCTCCCCCTCTTCCCACCCCAACCCACCCCCTCAACACATGCACACACCATCAAGTGTCCCGCCCCCAGCGCCCATTCCCACGCGCACGCACGTACCATCGAGCGTCATGGCGTATTTGAGGATGGAGAAGGGCAGGCCTGTGTGCGCGCGGAACAGCAGCGCCTCGTTCACCCCGCGGCAGCTCCGCACCACGCCCTGCGGTGGTGAGGGATGGGGCGGGAGGGGAATGGGAGATAGGAGATGAAGGATGGGGCACCGGAGAGGTGGGATTGGAGCATGGGGCATGGGGATTGAGGCAATAAGTTTGGGCCCTGGGGAGTGGAACATGGGGAATAGAGCATGAGCAGCGGGGCACAGGGATTGGGGCGTGAGTGAGGCACGGGGCATGAGGCATAAGCAGGAAGACCTAAGCGGACCATTTTTGCGATGGTAGGTGAATGACAGCGAGAGGGACAGAGCGGGAAGGGGGAAGGAAAAAGGGGACAGGCGGGGGGTGGGGTGGGGAGGTGGGGAGTTGGGATCAGGAACAGGCGGCACAGGACTCAGGAGCCGTGGCGTGGAAGGGGCCGAACGGCAGCATAATCCCCTTTCCACTGCCCTACCTACCCTGCTTTTGAGGCCCCTCAAACATAGGCAACTCACATCCATGTCCGGGTGGGCCAAGTCCCCTTCCCCCTGCACGTCGACCAGGATGCGTGCCTCTTGCAGCATGGCCACTGCGCTGTTTCTAACACGCTGCAAAAGTCAGGAGGGAGCAACTCACGTCCATGTCCGGGTGGGCGAGGTCCCCTTTCCCGCTGCACGTCCACCCCGAAACCCGCCTGTCACAGCATGGCCACTGACTTTCGAGGAGCGATACGGGCATGGGTAGGAGCAACTCACGTGCATGTCCGGGTGGGCCAGGTCCCCTTCCCACAGCCCGTCGACCAGGATGCCTGCCTGTCGCAGCATGGCCACTGCCCTGTTTTGGACACGCTACAAAGTTCAGGTGGGAGAAACTCACGTGCATGTCCGGGTGGCCCAGGTCCCCTTCCCACAGCCCGTCGACCAGGATGCCTGCCTGTCGCAGCATGGCCACTGCCCTGTTTTGGACACGCTACAAAGGTCAGGTGGGAGAAACTCACGTGCATGTCCGGGTGGGCCAGGTCCCCTTCCCACAGCCCGTCGACCAGGATGCCTGCCTGTCGCAGCATGGCCACTGCCCTGTTTTGGACACGCTACAAAGGTCAGGTGGGAGCAACTCACGTGCATGTCCGGGTGGGCCAGGTCCCCTTCCCACAGCCCGTCGACCAGGATGCCTGCCTGTCGCAGCATGGCCACTGCCCTGTTTTGGACACGCTACAAAGGTCAGGTGGGAGCAACTCACGTGCATGTCCGGGTGGGCCAGGTCCCTTTCCCACAGCCCGTCGACCAGGATGCCTGCCTGTCGCAGCATGGCCACTGCCCTGTTTTGGACACGCTACAAAGGTCAGGTGGGAGCAACTCACGTGCATGTCCGGGTGGGCCAGGTCCCCTTCCCACAGCCCGTCGACCAGGATGCCTGCCTGTCGCAGCATGGCCACTGCCCTGTTTTGGACACGCTACAAAGGTCAGGTGGGAGCAACTCACGTGCATGTCCGGGTGGGCCAGGTCCCCTTCCCCGAGCACGTCCACCGTGACGCCCGCCTGTCGCAGCATGGCCACTGCCCTGCCGTGGTGGTGCGGCAGCGGGTTCAGCAGCCCCACCACCACTCGCGCCACGCCCGCCTGCCAGGAGATTAGCGCAGGGCCGCAGGAGGGGAAATGAGGGAGGGAGAAAGGGAGGAGGCGGGGAGAGGGGGGCTCAAAAGTGGTGCAGCAGCGGGTTCAGCAGCCCCACCACCACTCGAGTCGCGCCCGCCTGTGAAAAGATTGGCGCAGGGCGGTGGGAGGGAAAGTAAGGTGGGAGGAAAGGGAGGAGTGGGGAAGAGGAGCATTCAAAAATGGTGCGGCAGAGGGATCAGCAGCCCCACCATCACCCGAGCCACGGCCGCCTGCCGGGAGAGGGGAGTCAGGCGGGCAAGGGGACAGGGTTTATGTGTGCCTGCAGAAGCAGCTTAGCCACTGCTGGAGACACACTTGCATGCAAGAAACTGAGAGTAATGGGGGGAGGGCGAGGGGAAGAGGGATGGGAATGAAGGGGCTAGACATCCCAGAGCAGCAATAGAAGATGTAGAAGGTTCATATACGTCCACCCCTCTTCTTCTGAGTCACAGCCTACCTAGTGGTTCATACCGCTGTGGCCCTACTCATCTCTGTTCCCGATCCGAATCAAATGTTTTCCTGATTTGAGCAGAATCTCTGCACAAGCCGATCCCAATCTCTCCCCAACCTGAATGAGAGCATGCACGGCGGTATCGTCGCCATGGCAATCCCGGGCTCCAGATTCAGATACGCGGTCGCTCCGCGCGCCGCTTCCCCGCCGCCTCCACCGCCTGCTTCTCCGCGCTCGCGGTGCCTTGCGCGTGCAGCCACGTCTCCGCCACCACGCGCGCGTCCCGCCGCAGCACGCACCCCGCGAAGGGGTGCGGCGCAGTGAGCCCCGCGGAGGACGTCGCCAGCTGCACCGCGCGCTCCAGCATCTCGCGGTCGATCGCGCGCGGATCTGCGCGCACGGGAGAACGGGGAGGGGGAGGGCGGAAGGCGAACGGTGAGGAGACGGGGATGTGCACGAGTGGCCGTTAGAGTTCGGGAGCACACTAGATTCACACGACCGATCCGCTAGTGTTCTGGTCAGAAATAAGTATGTCGTTACTGTAGCTACGCAGAATCGGAACAACGGCGGTGCTCTTACGACTTTTGCTACTCTATTGCTCCAGAGTCCTTCCCTTGAATCCCATATCTACATTGTCGGCTACGGAGAAGAGTCTTCTCTCACCGGAAGAATCTGACGGCGAGCCGTTTGCCGACCGGCAAACCAGCCGGCGATCCGACTCGGATCTCCGCCTTTGATCGTCCAGCGGGTCTCCGATCCGCATCTCAGCAGATCGTCTCCGGCTGCGACAGAACGACGAGCCGTTTTGACGTCCAAACCCTCGAGGATTTCCCGTGGTCATCGCATCTGCGTCCCATGACCGCGCCTCCGCATTCCCGCTTGACCACCTCTTGACAGATTTCGCGTTACCAGGTCGCCCGAATTTTCCGGAAAGCTGCCTCGACCCAGGATTCCCTAGGTCACGCCCTGCGCGCACCGCTACGCTCCCTAGGGAAGAACTTAATGCGGCCTCTCGGGCACTGAATGCCAGATCCGCGGCAACGGCGGCCTCCATTGGTTTCTGCTGAGGTAAAATTGACCGAAAGCGGTATTGCGAGGCCGGGATCGGCGCCTGATCAGCCGCCTGCTGCCAGCAGGCCTGGGCTCGGCTGGGTCGCAGCGGACCTCGAGGCCTTGAGCCACGTGGGCAGCGGGAAATGGCCCTAGAAAAAAGGTGTTAGAAATGATAGGAAAGGGGGTAAAAAGGTATCGGCCAACTGGATTGAGAAAGGGAAAGGTGGACGGTGGTGGACAGGCCAGATCACCACGAGCCAAACGAGCTCGGGGAAAATGAGGTTACCTGATTCGAGAGCTTCGTTTGACCCTTGGTTGATTGTTAGGGATGTTGCGAGCTTCGCGAGCGTTTTTGCAACGCTTGTGACGTGGCTGGTTTCAATCCCAGGGCTGGGTTCAGTGGCGGGTTGAGTCGTGGACATCGGACGTTCCGCGAGGCGAGGAGAACGGTGTGGTTGAAGTGTTGTGTCAAATCCTACGGCTGGGATGAGGATTCGCGTGGGTGAGAGTTCCGCGCGACCTTCGTGACACATGCCTTTGCTTCGCCTAAAATGTTCGTTGTCGGCCCCCCATAACCAAATGTGTACTTCGGTAACCAGCAGTGTTGCTCTAATTTGCTTCTAATGGGCAGCAGCCACTGTAGACATCCTCAAATGCTTTTACTAAGCTATCGCGACTCTGTCCATATATTCACTCGCCTTACAATCGCGTACAGCTACACCATCACCATTGCCATCACCAACGCCACTCCCCCAATCATCCCACCACCAACATCACACACCACCAGCACCTCTCTCCGCCCTTCACGGACATCATCTCACCTACAACACTTCCCCCCTCGCCCGTCCGAAATGCTAGTCACTTTGTCCTAATCATTGATTTCGATGCAATCATTCTCTCATTTCGGCAACACCATGTCTCTCGTAATCGCCGTCGCGCTCCTGAGCTTGCTCAGCGCATCGCCGCCGTCTGTCACGGCGCAGATGCCCAACACGCCAGGCGGGCAGATCGGCGGCGAGGCGGGTATCGAGCGATCCATGTCTCTTTTCCGAGTGAGTTGTTCCTTCCAGAATGCTCTGAGAAGTACGTTCAACCTAGCAAGCAACGAGCGAGCCGTGTCGCATTTCCACGTGACTTCTGGCTTGCACGTGCCTGCATGCAGAGAGACGTTGATGTTCTAGTCGACGCATAAGTCGCGTGCCTGCCCGCAAGGAGACGTTTTATCGAGACCGATGAGTCCCTCGGCCTTAACGCCGTTTCATCGCGTCACCCCTCTCTGCGCGTCGATGTTATCAGGCATGGGAAGAAGCATACGGTCTAAAACCCGACATCGAAATGCCGCCCGACAAAGTCACCTTGCCACCCAACGTGCCGTCCGCGCCGCATCTGGAGGACTGCGCGGCGGTGACGGCGGCGAGAAAGGCGGCGGAGCAGCGCGGAGCGAACGGGGAGTCGCCCGTGTGGGCCCGGCCGTCCGACTGCTGCGGATGCAACCCGCAACCCCCGTGGGTATGAATTTCTGAGGCGACTCACCGTAATCAGGCTTGTGATTGCTGCAGGTGGGACGCGCAGCGCAACCACTGCGGGCATGCGCCATCCATGGCAACTATCCGATCCCCTACTCGTGTCTCTCGTTTCCCCGTCTCTCATTTCTCCTCCTCCGCTTTTCCCTCGCAGCCATTGACGTTCCCGCCTTCTCTCCTCCCAGTCTCTCCCCGCGCTCTCTCCTCGCGTCGCCCCCCCCATCCTTCCCTCCCCACCTCTCCTCCCCGCCCCTCCATTCTCTCCGCCCGTCGTGCGTCCGCCAGGTGCGCGGGGCGGACGCGGACAACCTACCGCTGACGCGCGTGGCGCAGAGGGACTTGTGGGAGTACCAGATGTTCCCCGGCAGCTGCGACGGCAGGCGCCTGCTTGTTGTGCCCTGGTCCTTGGGCCGCCTGCACGGCGTCGGCTCTCAGGTCAGGTGTGGGTTGGGGGGAGAAAGGCGGGGCGGGAGAAGAGGAGGGGGGGACGGGCAGCGGGGAAAGAGGGGATGGAGGCTGATCGTCTGCCCGCCTTGTCGACGTGCCCTGGTCTTTGTGGATGCTGCACGGCATCGGCTCACAGGTGGGCGTTGAGGAGGGGGGTTAAAGAGTTTGGGTCCGTGCCTGCCTGCCTGCTCGTCTGCCTGCCCTGACGCCACCTCCTTCGTCCGTCTGCCCACCCACCCATCGCCCACCACTCACCCATGCACCTACCCTTCATCCATCACTGTCCCACCACGCTGCACCAACCTCCACGCCCGCAGGTGCATGTGATGAGCGCGTTCCTGAGCATGGCCATGGTCCACAACCGCACGCTCGTGCCCCTGCCCGCCTCCTACGACCGCGCCACCACCGCTGCCTGCAATGGTGCGCCTCTTCACAGCCCACAGTCACAGGCCATGGGCAGGAGTGGATGGGCAGCGAGTAAGGGAGGACGGGCAGTGGGTGAGGGAGGACGGGCAGTGGGTGAGGGAGGACGGGCAGTGGGTGAGGGAGGACGGGCAGTGGGTGAGGGAGGACGGGCAGTGGGTGAGGGAGGATGGGCAGTGGGTGAGGGAGGATGGGCAGTGGGTGAGGGAGGATGGGCAGTGGGTGAGGGAGGATGGGCAGTGGGTGAGGGAGGATGGGTAGTGTTCGAAGCTGAAGGGTCAATCAAGGAGCTGTCATTACTCATTCCAGTGCTGCTTCTTTGACCATCACTCATTCCATTACTAGAACCACGGACCTAGGGTGCTGCTTTGCCAGGTGCTGAGACCTATACACTGGGACCTCCTATCATTCATGCACCTGGGACCTCCCTCCCCGTACCTATACTGCGTGTTTGAGTGAAGCTACGTGTTGAACGCCCCTCCCACCACACACGTACCCACCTCCCCACTCCACCCACACCACACCACCACCACTGCATCCCCCGCTTTCCCCCCTTTCCTCGTTTCCCATAGTGCACCCCGAGTGCGAGCAAGCAAAACAGTTTTCCCTTTCCTCCTTAACCCTCCTCTTTCCCCCCTTATTCCCCCCTCCTCCCCCCCTCTTCCCCGCACCCCTTCCCCAGCCACGAACGCAACCTCCCTCTCGTGGGACTGCTTCTTCTTTCCAATAGTGAACCCCGACTGCGAGCGGTTCCCTTTTCCCATGCTAACACCTCTGTCACACCCGCATTGCACCCTCTCTCTCTCTCTCTCTCTCTCTCTCTCTCTCTCTCTCTCTCTCTCTCTCTCTCTCTCTCTCTCTCTCTATCTCTCTCTCTCTCTCTCCCCCTCCTCCCCCGCGCCACCTGTTTCCCCTTCCCCAGCCACCAACGCAACGACCCTCTCATGGGACTGCTTCTTCTTTCCAATAGTGAACCCCGACTGCGAGCGAGTGGTGGCGGAGATGCAAGGCAACGGCACCCTGCCCGCCATGTCCAACGACGACCACGGGCACGATCGCCTCGCTGCCTCTGCTGACCTGGTGGTGCATCTCAACCCAAATGTGGACAAGCAGATGGGCTATGACGCGCGCGCTGCTAAGTGAGTCGGACGGGACGGGGGGAATGGGGAAGGGGAAAGGGGGGGCTTTTGTGTTGACTAGAAAGCTGCCTGGCTGCGTCCGCTGGCCTCGTGGTGCATCTGAACCCAAATGTGGGCAGGCAGATGGGCTATGACCCGCGCGCTGCTAAGTGAGTGGAAGAGGGAGTGGGGAGGGTGAAGAATGGGTGGATTGGGGGGGGATAGGTGTGGTTTGGGAAGGGTGTGAAAAGCGGAGGGGATGGGGAAGCAGGGTCAGTGCATGGGTGGAGAAATACTAGCAGATGAGTTGCTGATGGTCCGGTTGAGGCGGGAGGGAAGTGAACGAGGCTTTGGGCTAGGGTCTTGGGGAAAGGGGAATGGAATGTGGTGAGGAGGAAGCATGTGTGGTGAGTGTGTGGCCCCAAAGGATGAGAAGGATTTACGCTTGTGCTTTTGGCGCACGCAACATTGTCTCTGCGTTCCCCACACCCCTGCCCACCCACTGCCTCTGCTCTGCTCTGCGGCCCACCGTGCCCTGCTGACCTGCTGATGTGGGCCCTTCATGGCGCCAGGCCCAGGATACGCAAGAGGCTGCTTGTGAAGTTTATGGAACAATTATGCACGCACGCACGCACGCACGCACGCACGCACGCACGCACGCACGCACGCATGCACGCACGCGTATCCCCTTATGTTTCTCTCCGTCATGTGCGCCCCTCCTCCCCTTCCGGCCAGGCGGTGGGGCCAGGCGTATGCAGCAACCCCAGACGTGATCGAGTTCATGGGGCAAATTCCACGCACTGAGGACAAGTACCAGATGGTGAGCCATTGTGCGCGCTTATGTGTGCACTTGTGTGTGCGCTTGTGTGTGCGCTTGTGCGAGTTCGTGTGCGTGTGCGTGTGTGTGTGTGCGTGTGTGTGTGGGCGTGAGTCCTCTTGGTAATGTATATAATTGCAGGGTTCACAAATTATTCACATGGCACACGCCCACACTATGTTCTCCAAGGTGACACTTGAGTCGACTAATGTCACCTCTCCCCTTTCCCCCATGCTCCCCCTTTTTCCCCCCAGTCCTGTCCAGTCTATGTGCTTCATACGTGCTTGCCTTCCTTCCCCCTCTCCCCGCTTACCTTATCCCGTCCGTCTCCTTTTCCATCATCCGCTCCCCCTTCCGCCGCCCCTCCCCCTGATGCACTGGAGGAAGGGAGTTGAGGAGATCCCAGTCCATCCGCTCCATGCTCGGCTGACCCCCCCCCCCACTCTCCCCAATCCTTCCGCCTCCCGCTACCCCCCTCCTACCCCCCTCCTACCCCGCTCCTCCCCGCCTCTCCCAGCTTCATGACGCGCTGGCCCTCCAACTCCCCCCTACCTCACCCCCTCCCTCTCCCCTCACCACCCCCCTTCCCACTCCCCCTCCCCCGCCCCTCCCTCAGCTGCACTGGTGACGATTGCAGTCGGTGCGTTTCATGATGCACTGCCGCTCCTCATTTCTTCTCTCAACAATCCCTTCCCCCCCTCTCTCTCCTCCCCAGCTGCACTGGTGGCGATCACAGTCGGTGCGTTTCATGATGCGCTGGCCTTCACCGCACATGTGCCACGCCACCAACAAGGAGCGCCACACCTCCTACGGCCTCCACACGGCATCCCACCTCGCGCGCTTCTCCGAAACGCAATCCGAGATCGTGCGGGCCGTCGTCACCAGCAGCAGCAGCAGCAGCAACGGCACCACCTCCGTTCAGAACGTCACAGACTCTCCAGAAGCGAAGCAGCTCCTAGGAATCACCTTTGCGGCACCGGGGAACCTCGAAACGCAAGTGTGGGCGATCCGGGGGTTCGAGGGGTGCAACGCCACGTGCATGAGCGCAGGGGATGTGAAAGCAATGCGGGATACGTACGTCGCGGTGGGGGGAG